GGATTGGGTTAATTCTTTGAAAAAAGAACAATAGAAGATACCTGAAGAAGGAACCCAAATCCTACTATCCAGTCTAGAGGGGTCAAACAAATGAGCTATACAATTGCTTTTTAGTTTTTCCTGGCTGTGATGGATCAGCTTTTGTTATAAGGGGATACATGATCCAACTTCTTACTAGGTTGGCCCTGGGCTAATAAATAATTGGGGAGAAGAGAAAGTTGAAAAGCACCCAAATGTTAAAAAAGCAATCACCGATTCACCGGAAATGGTCAATCAAACAACAAGATTCCCATTTCCTCAACTGTATAATTCATGTAAAAATGTGTTGTCTTGTAACTTTGAAGATCAACTTAAAATTCCTTTTTGTAACCATTGCCTTGATTGCAGATAAAAATTACTGTCATTTGAATCAATTAATACTCTGAATTTTAGTTCTACCCTGCTCTAATTGTCTCTGTTCTTCATACAAATCAGTTCGAGAGCCTCTATGGGTGCCGCTACTTTCTCCCTGATGGATTGGTGAGGACCACCATGATACAATTGTTAACAAGGTGGTAGTTGTTCGTGGGTACGAACAAGCCTGCTCACTACATGGACGACTAAAGGAAGGAGGAGAGAACAAAGCCTCTGTTCTCTTTGTTGGTGGAACATGAAAACAGTCAACAAATGGTAAAATGGGGATTTTAAATTTTAAAGAGGACAATTGATGTTTCATGAGAATAATTCCTAAAGATTTAACAGTAGAGGGTATTTTTAAGTCCAGTGGGGTCAGCCTACAAGGTATATTTAAGTCAGATTGAAAAACTTGGGGTATGTTTAAGTCAATTTCTGAAAACCCAAGGTATGTTTAAGTCTTTTACCCTAAAATTAAAATCAAGAGGGAACAGACAAGTCACTGTTTTTTAATAATTGTAAAATGGGGATAAACCCAATACAGTGAATGGCTGCACATGCATTGAGAATACACAAAATATCAGAAGATGTAATAATTACGAAAAGAGGACATCAGTTGTGAAATTGGAAGATTTTGCCGAAGAGGAGATTTTTGTTTGCATATATGTGTATGGTTTCATCAATTTAAGAGGATTTTCCTTCTAAAATTCTTATGTTTGTCTCCATTCAGATGGTCAAAAAAAAGTCATAGGTAGCATGCATCACACTAGCTTACATAAAGTAGGGAAATACAATATACTATTTAAGGAAAAAAGAAAGGAGGGAAATACAATAAAGAAGTACAAGAAAGAGTAAACCCCACAACTATCTTGCTATAGCCTCCACAATAAAATACATGTGGACACAAGATGTCTTGTCCCACCCCCTTTCTAGTTCACTAGAACTTAACATCCTTGACACTCCTCTCCTTGTTCACTCATACGCATCAAGAGAAAAGAATACATGGACAGTTTCAGAGCTAATTGATTGTATGTGGTGAAAAGACAAACTTATATGGATATATCACCTTAATTAGGTCCACATACCTATTTGGGACTCCTTCCTTTTCCAAAACCCAACATATTACCTCTCTAGAGACTCTTCTTTTTCTTTTTCTTTTTTTTTTTGTGAAGATCAATAAAAAAGAAAATTTATTAAGAAAAGAGGGAAAAATACAAATAGGTGATAAGATAAAAGATATCACTTCTCTAGAGACTCTATCATAAGCTTTCTCTAGATAATGAAAACCATACGAAGATCTCTCTTTGTCTCTGAACTTTTCTTTCAACTGTCTTAAAGTAAGATGGCTTTGGCTTCCAAGGCTGAACTCCCTGGCATAAAGCCAAATTGGTTTTCTGAAATATTTGTTTCATGTCATAACCTTTACTCAATTACTATCTCCCAAAGTTTTCATAGTGTCGACACATGTCCACAATTCCTTTTTTGAGTTTTCCAAGCTGGACTTGTGGGACGTGTTAGATTCCGTCTCCCGTGTCTGAGTCCATGCAACACTTAAAATCTTGACCTACAAGAAAGCCTATGGGCCTTCTCTGGCTTACCCACATGTTTGTGAAGCCCATTCTGGTAATCCGCTTAGAGACTAGAGATAAAATATACAAGACAAGCCCATTCTGATGAAGATGCTGCCTGATCTAGAGAAACCACTCTCAGAGGAAGAAATCAGGGAGGCTATCTTTCTAATGGAGGGGGATAAAGCGCAGGCCCAGATGGCTTCACATTGAAATTCTATAAAACTGGGCTGGCACTTTATCAAGCAGGATCTTTTGAAGGTTTTTTGAAGAGTTCCACTAAAGGACTGCTTTGGAAAGGTGTCTCAACTCAACCTTTATCACCTTGGTTCCAAAAAAGCAAGGGGCCTTGGAGTTGAAAGAATACAAACCCATCAGTCTCTCAGGAAGTGTGTATAAAATTCTTGCAAAAGTTTTAGCTTCAAGGCTGAAAAGAGTGATGGGCCAGATCATCTCTCCCTCCAAGTTGCCTTTGTAGAAGGGAGACAGATTCTTAATGGGGCCCTTATAGCTAACAAATTGATTGATTCACGGAAAAGGTAAGGCAGAGAAGGGCTGATACTCAAGGTGGATTTAGAAAAGGCTTTTGATCATGTTAGCTGGAATTTCCTGGACTATATGCTGTTTAGAATGAACATTAGCTCCAAATGGAGAAATTGGATCAACGTTTGTGTTACCACTCCCACATTCTCTGTTCTCTTCAATGGTGTCTCCTGTGGAAGATTCAAAAGCTCAAGGGTTTAAGGCAAGGAGATCCTTCGTCTCCCTTCCTATTCAATATAATAATGGAAGCTTTGAGTAAGATCACCTGCAGGGCAACAGCTGGTGGCCTCATTCATGGGTTTAAAGTTAGGGAGAGCATTGAACAGATCTCCCTGCTTCAATTCACTGATGACACCATCTTCTTTTGTGATTCCTCAACTGATGAGCTGATTTATTTGGGCATCCTTAGATGGTTCAAAGCTGTCCCACGCCTTAAAATCAACCTTTCAAAGAGCGAATTAATGAAGACAGAGGAAGGTAATCCTGACTCCCAGCTGGCTAGTATTTTGGGCTGCAAAACTGGGAACTTGCCCACCACCTACCTTGGCCTTCCCCTGGGAGCCAAAAGCAGTTCCTAGAGGATCTGGGATCTGGTTATTGATAGATTTGACAAGAAACTGTCAATGTGGAAATCTAAGTGCTTATCAAAAGGTGGTAAACTTACTTTGATTCAGAGTGTTTTGTCTTCAGTCTTCACTCCCAATTTATTACATGTCTTTATTTCAAATCCCTGCAACTGTTGCAAAACACTTAGAGAAGAAAATGTGGGTTTTTTATGGGCTAGCTGGAGGAACTTCAAATTTAATTTGGTGAGTTGGAAAACAGTATGCCAATCAAGGAAAGTTGGTGACCTAGGCATCAGAAATATTAAAACTGTTAAACAAGGCCCTTCTTGGCAAATGGTGTTGGAGATTCAGCGAAGAGAGAAGCAACATCTAGAGAAGAATCATCGTTGATAAGTATGGACTCACAAATCGGGGTTGGGACTTGAGCCCTGGCCTACCCCCAAGGGGCTGTGCCCTGTGGAGTAATATTGTCTCATTCTTCCTGTTTTCTATAAGGACATTCGATTCAAGTTGGCAATGGTAATCATATCAAGTTCTGGCTTGACAAATAGTGTGGGGACCTTGCTTTGTGTGAAAGGTTCCCCTCTCTCTTTGATATTGCACAAGATAAAGATGTTGTGGTTGAAGACTGCTTTGACTCAGTGAATGGTGAGATAATTTGGGGTCCTACATAATTTAAGAAAAAAGGAAAGTGAATACATCAGCCCATGCACAATGAGAGCCTGTACATTGGGAATATACAAAAAGACCTGAGAAATTGGATAAAAAAAGGTCCAGCTTGCAAAAAAAAAACAGAGAGAGAGAGATAAAAGCTGGACACCATTTTTTTTTTATCAATAACAGAAACTTTTATTAATAAAGGAGTAAAAGCTGGAGACCATTGAAGGCCCTTTGTACACTTAACCAAGAACACAGGAAGCCTATAATTTTGTTCTTGACTGAAGCTACATCAGTACATTTATTGTCAAAAATCCAGCAGTTCCTTTCCTTCCAAAGAGCCCACAAGATAGCAGCTTGAAAAATCCTCCAAAGCAGCTTGCCCCTTGCATTCAAACCCTTGAGAGTCCACCCTTGAAGAAGCTGAAGGACTGATGCAGGCAGGCCACTATCTTCATCCTTTCTTGGTGAGATGATCCCAAAGTGGGTTAGATAATCTAATTGTACTGTTTTCCTTCTTTCAGTTCCTCTCCTGTTCCTTCTCATTTTTTCCATTTTTATGCAAGATTTTCATCATTGGTGGGATTTCATTTTCATGCGCATAACTGCTCTTTCACCTTTTTTTTCTATTTCATTGATGTCTTATCAACAGTTCCTGTACTCTTGTTTATTTTAATAAAAGTTTTCTTTTACTATCAAAAAAATGTGCACAAAGCAAGAAGACCATTAATTCCACCTGCAAGTTTGAAGTGTCCCTTGACTCAAAGACTGCCTAATCAACTGGGCTTTCTAATATGATGTCAAATTGACCAAGGATCAAGCACCAACCATACACCTAATAATCAACTTAAAATCCACCTGCCTCCACTCTCTTTACACCCTAACCATACATGAGTCTAAAAGCATAGAGAGGGATCAAGATCTCACCCCAAATCCATCTTGGTAACATATAGAGAATGTTCTATTCCTACCATTGTGGATGGACTCCAAAGTGACAGGCAACTGAAGAGGCACATTGAAAATGCATAGCAACTATGAGTACAATAAGATATCAGGTTGTGTGTGGGGAAAGAATTGTTTTACAGACCCTAAAAGGAGCAAAGAAACAGATAAATTATCTTAACATAATACCAAGCAACATGATATGTTTATTTGGAAAAGAATGTCAGAAGTATTTCGTAGTTTCACATTCAAAACTTAACCTATAGAAGTATTGAGAAATTAAGAAGAATAAAAGTTTATTTTAATTCATAAAGCTGAAAAGAACACTCACAGGTGTGCTTTGAGAAGAATATATGTTATCATTAGGCTGCTCAATAGTAGTTTCATGGTCACGGATTACAGGCTCAGACTGATCACTTGATGTTTTTGCATCATCAGAAGAAAAGGCAAGAAATGCTTTTCTAGCCTCCCTTCGTACATCTGAAAACACAAAGATTTTGAATAGGTATGATGTATTGAACTCTGAAACCAGTTTCATTAACAGGGAGAGCATCATAAAAAAATGGTAAATATGAACCAGAAGTTGATTGATGCATATGTCAACTTCCAGAATAATTATGTTAAAATGATTCTTTTGTAACATGCAGCATGCACAAGCAGTGTGCCCTTTCTGATGTTCCCTAATCTTTACAGAAATTAGAAAATTTCAGCCCATCAAAATACAATAAAATGGAAGTCCAGAAACTATATAGGGCACCTCATCGGTTCACCTTTCTGATTACTTCATTCTCCATACCCCTTTCTTCTGGGATTCTATAGTTTCTTTCCTTTCAAACACACCACCATAAGGCAAAAAGTGTAACAATCAATAACATACAAGATACAACCATGTTTACTAAACCCCTTCACCAGCCAAGATTCAATCATTCAAGACAAACTTCTTGGGATTACCCATTTTGGGGTTAATAGTTACATTTTACTAGTTCAGGGTTAAAAGTTTGAGACATTAAAGTCTTGACACAATTGTTTTAGCCCTAAAACCACAAAATGAATTCCCTCAAGCTTTAAGCCATATTCTTTTCTTTAATGTCCCATTAATCCAATATTGTTTTTTCAGCCCTAGAACTAAACTAGTTTCTTATTTAATTTTCACATGTTTATTTATTTATTTATATATATTTTTTATAAGCAACAAATAAATTTCTTGTTTATTTAAGTAGAAATGTGCAAAAATTCTCTTCTGATATAAAATATGTGAAAGAGAGAAAGAAAGAAACCAAAGAGAAGGTTTATGCAGAGAAGAGAAGAGGAAAAAAATTGAAGAAAATGGGGAGCAATCAAAAAAATTAGGTCTGCCTGCCCCTTTCATTAGCTTATATACTTGTAAATAAAACTGAATACAAAGACAAGTATGCCCTTAGTAAGTCTGCTACTTGTAAAAACTAAGTAAAAACTCTTAGTTTAAACATAAACTAATGGGCCTTGGACCCAATAACTCTCTCCAATCCGGCCCTCACTGCAGCTGCTGCAACAAACTCTAGAGAAGTTGTAGTAAGTGGTCCTGATAAATCACCAATGTGAATATGACTACCATATTCACATTTCCCTTCTTGTTTTCGAGCCGGCTCGGGTCTGGTCGTGTTAGGCAGAGATAAAGAAGTTTCCCAGCCAACCTTTGATACATAGCCCTGTCCTCAAGAGGTTCTCCACCTTCTGCACTTATTTTATGGTTCAACTCAATGGGTGTGTCAACAAGCTTTACTCCTAACTTTCCAGTTTCTTCCAATAAGTCAAGGACATACTTTCTTTGAGAGATGAAGATGCCATGCTTAGATCGAACCACCTCAATTCTTAAGAAATAGCGCAGTTCTCCCAAGTCTTTTACTTCAAATTCTTTGTGAAGATTCTACTTAAGAGCATCTATCTCATTAATATCACTTCCAGTCACCACAATATCATCCGCATAGACAGCAAGTAAGGTCAAAAAAAAGTCTGTCTTCTTAAAGAAGAGAGTGTGATCTGATTGAGCCTGCATGTAGCCGAACTTTTCTAATGCCAATCTAAACCTGTCAAACCAAGCTCTCGGAGACTGTTTCAGCCCATACAAAACCTTCTTTAGTCGACAAACTTTCTTTCCTGCTTCTGTATTGTAAAAAACGGGAGGTAACTCTATACACCTCCTCTTGCAAATTTCCATTTAGAAAAGCATTCTTGACGTCCATCTGAAAAAGTGGCCAAGAGAAGTTCGCAGCCATAGATAGTAGGACTCTAATTGTGTTCATCTTTGCAACTGGTGCAAAGGTCTCCATATAGTCTATGCCACAAGTTTGTGTGAAGCCCTTTGTAACCAATCTGGCCTTGTATCTCTCTACAGAGCCATCAACATTATATTTTATTGTAAACACCCATCTGCATCCAATAGGTTTCTTCCTCTCAGACTGGTCAACTAGTTCCCAAGTGTTGTTCTTAATAAGTGCATCCATCTCTATTTGCATTGCTTCCTTCCATTCAGGTATCAGAAGAGCCTCTTGCACTGTTCTGGGTATAGGAATGGTAGCAATAGATGCCAAAAATGATCCGTAGGATTCTGAGAGACGACCATAAGAGAGAAACTGGGAGATACAATGAGCAATGGATGAAGTACAACCATGCTTCCCTTTATGAATTGCAATTGGGAGATCAAGGTCATCTGAAGGAAGGGACTGAGGCTCAACAGTGTTAGGTGAAGTACCTGCAACAGTGAGCTCAACAATGGGTGTAATGCCTAGATCTGAAGTTGTAGGAGGTGTTGGGATCGGCCGGGACTGCTGTGAATGAGAACCAACCTGCCTCCACCACTGTCTGTGATACACTCTCAACTCCCTGGACTTTTGACAACCCTCTTCATGGCACTCCCCCTCAACAACTGGGATAGGTAATGGAACTTCTGGGGCTGAAATCCCTTCCTCACGACTCTCCCCCTAAGGAGAGGCCCTATGATAGTAGGGCATATCCTCAAAAAAGGTGACATCCATGGACACATAACGCCTTCCCGAAATAGGATCATAACAGCAATACCCCTTTTGATTTTGTGCATCCCAAGGAAAATACATTTAGCAGCTTTGGGATCAAATTTGGTGTGATGAGGTCCCAGGATTTGAACAAAGCAAGTACACCCAAAAGTTTTAAGGGGAATAGTGAACAAGTCCTTGTTTGAATACAGAAGGTTGAATGGTGTTTTCATGTCCAAAACCCATGAGGGAATTCGGTCAATAAGGTAAACAGCAGTACGGATTGCATCCCCCCAGAAGCGTATGGGAACATTAGAGTTGAGCATAATGCTTCTGGCTACTTCCAAAATATGTCTGTTTTTTCTCTCAGCAACCCCATTCTGCTGAGGTGTACGGGGACAAGTGCTCTGATGAATAACTCCATGGTCTAGAAGATATGATGCCAGGGGTTTTGCAAAATACCCCTTGGCACTATCAAATCTGAGAATTTTGATCTTGATTTCAATTTGGGTCAATACCATCTAAGGGAAAGCTTGGGTCAGTGAAGGAACCTCATCTCGAGAGTGCATGAAATATATCAACGAGAAACGGATATAATCATCAACAAATAACAAGAAGTATTTGTACCCCCCCTGGCAGGAATATGATATGGCCCCCAAACATCAGTATGCACAATTTCAAATGGAACATTGCTTCTTTTATTCCTCAAAGAATAAGTTGACCTACAATGTTTTGCAAGTTCGCACAGCTTTCACACTTCAAACTAGACACTTGGACTGACTCAAACAAACTTGGAAACAGACTCTTCAAAGACCCAAAGAACAAATGACCTAATCTGTTATGCCAAAGCATAATCTGACCCAAAGACTGAGAAATAAACAATCTCCCAACTTCACTTCCCTTCCCCTGTGGATGCTCAAGCAGGTAGACTCCATTCGTCTCACGGCCAATCCCAATCACCTTCCTCGTTTCCAGATCCTGAAAGACACAACGATCAGGAAAAATAGTCACTGAACAGTTTGATTCTTAGTAATACTACTAACTGAAAGCAAGTTAGCACTAAGCTTAGGGACACGCAAAACTGAGGACAAGGAGATGGCATCCGACAACCTAATGTCTCCCTTGCCAGAAATAAGAACAAGAGAGCCATCAGCAATAGACACTTTGTCATTGCCTGAGGATAAACAGTAGGTGGTAAACAAGGTGGATAAACTAGTCATATGGTCAGAAGCACCTGAATCTATTACCCAGACGGGTCTAGTATTACCTGGGGCTGAAGTGTGATATGTTGTAGCTCTTGTACCTGAGGAAGCAAAAGCTGAAGTAGGAATGGCAGGAGTAACAGTTGAAGACTGAGATGATGACCCGGAAATACCAGCTTCATTCTCCATTTGTGTCAAAGCAGCCCGGACAGCAGCTAAGGCATCTAGAGATGTGGTTCTTGTATTGGAAGATGATGCACTGTCAGTGTTGGCTGCCATTATTAGCACTTCCTTTCTTATTTTTGAATCTAGTTGGAACAAGATGGGGATGCAACTTCCAACAAGTATCCCTAGTATGCTTGGGCTTCTTACAATGATCACAAAACATCTCCCTTTTATCTTCCTTCTTTATTTCCTTTTCCTGATCTTTCCCAAATTTCTGTTTTGTTGCTGCTACGGCTGATTCCATGGGTTGAACTTGTAACATCACTTTTCTTCTACTCTCTTCACTATGCACTAGTGAATAAGCCCGAGACAAGGTCACACTATCCCTGGTAAGAAGTTGTTGTCTTACTACGTCAAATTCTGAATTCAGACCTGCTAGGAATTCAAAAACTCTGTTTGTTTCAACCAGCTTGCTATAGGTAGTTGCATCTCTCTGATTCTCCCATTCAATGGTTTCCAAATGGTCAATTTCATGCCACAAAGATTTCAAAGTAGCAAAGTAAACGGATACTAGCTTCTCCCCCAGCTTGAGATTTTTCACTTCACACTTCAGTTCATAAGCCCTAGCAACATTAAGAGGTTGGGAGTAGGTCTCTTTCATATTATCCCAGATTTTCTTAGCCGTTTTGGCCCATAAATAATTTCGGCTAATGTGGGGCTGCATTGAATTACACAACCATGTCATCACCAAATAGTTCTCTTGAACCCATTTGGCAAGTGATGTGTCTTCGTTTGTTGGTTTCTTTATATCCCCCGTTACATAGCCTAATTTACCTCTACCCCCAATTGCCATCATGGCTGATTGTGCCCACTCTAAGTAATTTGTTCCATCGAACCTAACAGTTGTAATTTGAAAAGAACTTTCAGTCATACTTCCAGCCCCTAAAAAACTTTCTCCTGGAGTCTTGAATTCACTTCCTACTTTCTCCATTTTAAAGAGGATGTTAACAGTCACTGCCAGAAATCAATTTCAGATTATTGGTAACTCCCAAGAAACAATCCTCAGTCGACAAGAACACCCAGGAGCCAAAAACCCAGATTATTGTAGCTACTCAAGAACCAGTCACTGTCACAGAAAAATGGGAGCAATAGTTGACCATGGGATTTCACAAAAAAAACTCAGAGAAACTAGCAGATATATCAGAAAACTGCTGAATTAAGGTCGATCTCTGTCAGAAAACTAACAGCAATAATTGACTTAAATCAGAACTGTCAAAAAAAAGCTCCTTTCAAGGTCGATCTCTGTCAAGAAACCCTAAAGAAATGGCAAAGGAGACAGAATTCTATTAACCACTGCTTCCAGAAGGTTAAAAGCTCTTCCATTTAAGGTCGATCTCAATAAAGATGAGTTCTTTCTCAGAAAGAATTTGATCGCACCTTTAACCTTCAGATTAAGCCCTAATCTTTGACTTACCTGACTTCTCTGACTCTTCCTGGTCACCGGGCACTCTCCAAAGGTTGTGTAACCCCTTAGGCACAATTCGAATCTCCAGTGATCCTCCAAGAATCAGGTGAAGATGCAATACTTCAGATTCAATAACTTCTCATGCTACCGACTGAATTAGCCTCACATGAGAGCCCTAAACTGCTCTAGTTTTGGCTCTGATACCAACTTGAATAAATTAAACCAGCAAATAGTTGTTTTCTGATTTAAAAGGGTAGAAAAGAAAGAGAAAGAAGGGTCACGAATAGAAGAGGAAGAGAAGTAGGAAAGAAAGGGTTTGGCTAAATTATGTTTCTAGCCGCCCACTAAGATGTATTTATATTGTAATCTATTACAATGACTAATTACCATAATACCCTTACTTAAAACAAATGAAAGAAAGACAAACAAGGCCCAGCCGGCCTAATTATTCTAAATAAAAAATAAAATAAACAGCAGGTATAAAATGTGGGGTTGGAACCCCACAAACACTTAACAGCTTATCATCTATCTCTACACTCTCTAATGGTGTTTGGAGCCTCACTTTCAGAAGGAACCTATTTGACCGGGAAATAGAGTTTGAATCCTTACTACACCGGTTACAGCAATCCCATCCCATTGCCTCTGAAGAGGATTGATTGTAGGATTTGGAGGTGAGACAGCAAAGGGATCCTCTACGTTAAAGTCCATGATGCAACACCTCAGCCAGGGTGGTTCCTCCTTTCCTCACAAAATTGTTTGGGCTCGTAAAGCACCATCAAAGGTCTCTTTCCTGGTTTGGACAGCAGCCTTGGGTAAATGGCTAACAAAAAACAAACTGGATGAGAGAGGCATTCAGATCACCTCCCAAAATTGTCCACTATGCAATGTGGAGTTGGAAACGATATATCATTTATTCCTGCATTGCTCAACCAGCAGGTCTCTTTAGAGGCATTTGCTTGGAAATCTGAGGGTCCGTTTGGTTCGCATCGGAACCAGAATCGAAATCCCTCAGAGTCAGAATGCTCTATTCCCATAGTCTGTTTGGTTCAGACAGGAATCAGAATGGGAATCGGAATCAGCTGGAATGGGATTTCATTCCACCCAAGGGCAGGGGAGGGAATGGCCATTTCCTCAAATGGGAGAATGCCATTCCACCAGGAATAGGAATGGGATTCCAATTTCACCCAACCAAACGGTTGGAATTGGAATCCAGACCCATATTCCCATGAACCAAACAGGCCCTCAATCTTTATTGGGTCTTCCCTAACACCATCCTAGACTTTTAAAAGGCTGGTATGTGGAGGGACTTTCCAGCAATGGCAAGTTATTGTGGTGTATGTTTCCTGCGAAACCAGATCTAGTCCCAACAAGGGCCACAACAGCCTTTGCAGCCGTGCATTGGGAACATCTCCCTTCTCCTCAATGGCAAGATGTTCCCAATGCACAGCTGCATAGGCTGTTGTGACTTGTTGCTGGGACCCTGTGTTGGAACCTGATCCAAACTCATTTCCTGCAGCTGCCTTTTGGACTATCTGGATGGAGATGAACAGTAGAATTTTTATGGCAAATCCTAGTAGATGAAATGATTCGGAATATTATAACTAAAGTTTATTCTTGAGCTCATGCTGCTAATCTATCTACTGAAATTCTATTTTTTGTAGTTATCACAACAGCTGAAATACTGTGTATTTTCTCTACTTGTACAGTTTCTTACTGTCCTTACTGTACTGGGATTTTCCCTCTCAATCATCAATACAATTATACATTACTTTTTCCTAAAAAGAATTAAAAAAAAAAAAAACAACTAATCCATTTGTAACACTAATGAGAAAAAAATGATAACAAAGAAAGCAAATTACTCTATAACAAAAAAAAAAAAAAGAAAATTACAAAATGTATAGCAAAAAGGAAAACTATTAATAGAAGAATGATAAAGAAAAACGAGTAGAAGATGATTTTCCAAAACTAAAATTTTCCCCATTAGCACCTTTTTTTTTCTTTTGTAACCATGACAGGTTAGGGACTTTGGTCTATTCTCTTAAAAGGTGCCTAAGAAAGATGTAAAATGGGATATGAAGGATTACTTTAAAGTATCATATTGTTTGTGTTGTCATTGTGGCCATTGATTCTAGGTTTGGCTCTATACTGTGTACTCCTTTTTCCTTTCTTTTTTTTTTAATTTTTTGGTACCCCTTTTATGATAGGTACCAGTTTCATAATAATTTTTCATTGTCAATTATAAAGAAAAGGAAAAAAACATAAATTTCATCCAATCTAATAATATTTCTAACAGGAAGAAAAAACATATCCCAGGTCATATAGACAGTCAAAACTTCAATTAAATGGATCAAAGATAATACCAAGAGGAAATGCAGGATGTCTGATTTAATGATGCTGAAAAAACATACCATACAGTGAATTAGAGTGTGCATCCCTAATGGAATGACCATGCCTCCACCCCATCTTAAGCAGCAGCTTTACACCTAATTAACAAAAATCCAGGTGTTTATTTTTGGAATCTATAATTTTTTTACCAAGAAACTATGTTAATGAATTAATGAAAACAAACCAATAGAATTTGCAGCAGGTAGAACTATTTCATCAGGAACAGGTCCAGGAATAGCTGATGGCCTGAATTACAGTGAAGAAACAATTAAACCAAGTAAATAAGAGTTAACAGTGATATGACAATAAAATAACTACTTAATTTTAACATTGGCACAGATAATATGTGATCAAGAAAATTTATAATAATAAAAGTTGAGCCTGAGAAAACCTCTTCTGTTGTTCCTTCTCAGCTTGTTTGCGAGCAAGCTCTGCAGCTGTAAATCCAAATGTATCAAACTGCAAAGACGTCCCTAAGGAACGGCCTTCCAATTCCTTAAGATCAAACAAGAGAAACGATGGAGTCAATATTAAACAAACTTAGAACCTTAGATGAGCAAGCAATCTAACAATCACATAGGATGGATAAGTAAGATAAATTTGTTAGTGAAAAGGAAGAAACAAGCTACAGCAGGGGTTCTCCATAAAAGAGGAAAAGCTTAAAGTACAAAGACAATTAGTATATTACTCTGGAAACAAGAGGACAAAACTCCAAAGCTCAAAACTATCCTTTTTTTTCTTAGGAAACAAATCCTTAGAGTTGCATCAAAAATTAGTGTCCTTTGATTCATGAGAACCATAGTATTTGTGGATGGACTCAAATAGAAGGAAATGTATAACTAACCTAAAGCATAGTTGTCAAGGCGACACACCTAGGTGACAAAGTACCCATGGCAAGTCAAAGCACCCCAACACTTCTTCATACAGAAGAAGAAAAAGACCACAGAGAGCCAAATAGAGTGGTTTCTTGTGTCTTATTAGGGTCAAAAATGGTATTTTTAATTTTATTTTCATTTGATTACATTTATTCAATTAGACATTAGGGTCAAAACTGTCATTTTCTACTGTCACCTAATGGAAGGTCAATTAAGTAAATCAATTGCAAACTACAGGGGTGTTTTACTAAAACACAAACTATAGGGTAGGTTTTAGTAAATGACCCTAATAATAATAATAATAATAACAACAACAACAACAACAATAATAATAATAATAAAGACATTATCAAACTACATTATTCATTTTGTGGGTTTATACACTAACTTTTTTATTACCTTCTTATTTGTTAGTGTTCAATCAACACACATGTTGGCGTATGATGTCTTGAACCCTCAAGAACTTCAAAACCTAACCCGATAAGCAAGGAAGAACTTAAATTTTTGTCCAATGAAAACATTCTGGATTTTCTTTTCTTTCTTCTTTTTCTTTTCTTTTTTATTGTTTGATAGATTTCTTTCTTCTTTTTCTTCTCATGAACATGTTGATTTTCTATGTTTTAATACAAAGTTCATACTTTGTTACGAAGGTTATAGAGGATTATAATTGAAAGATGATTGTTGGTTGCTATGGAACCTAGAGAGTTACCCTAGAATTCATGATTTTTATTTAAAAAAAAAAAAAATCCATTGCCTAGGTGAAGAGCCCCCCCACCCCCCAACCTCACCTTGGCACCTTGAAAATAGGAGTGCAACTTGGGCAGGCTCAGGTTGGGATTTTGTCAATTTTTAAACAGGCCTGGCCCCGAAATCTAGGCCTCATGCAGTGCAAAATCTTCAAATCAGGTACCCAACTTGCACCCCCTACTTGAAAACTATGCCATGGAGTCATCCACATAAGCCTCAGATATACAATCTGTTCATTCATTGCGAACTTGCTGGCTGGATATGAGGAAAAGCCTTGAGGCTGTTTGAAGTTAACTTCTGTTTCCCAAAAGATCTGATCTCTTTGTTGGAGTGCTGGCAGGGGTCTGTCCAAGAGAGGGAAAGTTTTGTGGGAAGTGATCCCAGAAGCAGTAATTTGGTCTATTTGGTTGGAAAGAAATAGGAGAATCTTTGAAAACAAGTGCAATTCGGAGGATACAATTCTAAAAAGCTTATGGGGAAGAATCTATTCTTGGTCTGCAATGATAGACAGTTAAAGGATATACCTTTCAGTTCTTTTTTTTATCATAGAAATCTTTTTGTATCTAGATCAGATATATAATCAGCTTTTTTTATCAATAACAGTGAATTTTATTGAAGTATTGAAAATTACAAAGCAAAGGAGCTAAACAATCTTAACTCCCGAATACAACCAATGTACACCCAAAATGTAAAGCAATTACAGCACAGCCCAAAACATAAAGTTCCTGTTCACCCCTTGCCTAGCTAGACCATCTGCCAATGAATTTGCACTTCTCTTTACCCATGTACATTGAATTTCAATGTCCTTAGTCAGCCACTTAAATTTCCTCTTTTCATTGCTGTAATTCCAGAGCCTAGAGTTATCCTCTTTTAGCCAGTTCACCACAATTTCATAATCTCCTTCTATGATCAATTTATTAATATTCATGTCCTTGACCCTTCGTACCCCTTCAAGGGCTGCTAGTATCTCAGCCCTCAAAGAATCTCCCACCCCAATTGGACCAGAATATATAGCTAACAGATTCCCGTTTTCATCTCTTATCACTCCCCCTATTCCGGAGGGCCCTGGATTGCCCATACTGCTGCCATCGAAATTCAGGTTAGTAAAACCATGAGGTGGAGGGGTCCAGCAGGAACTTGAAGCCTTTTTAGCTGAAGCTGATTCTGCAATCTCCTTCCAATTCCTTAGCAACTCATCAACTAAGAAATCTGCAAACAAGTCCAAAGTTTTCAACCAATGTATCACCCTAATATGAATAACCTCCAAAATTACTTCCAAGCTTCTCTCCTTATCGGAAAAAATCCGTGAATTCCTCTCCTCCCAAACAGTCCAACAAACTGCAGCCCTAACACATCAGCTTTTGTTTTTCTCTTCCCTGCATCAATTTCTTTTTGAGCAGGGTTTGTAAATCTTTTGCTTATTTTATTGCATTACTCATTTCTCAAAAAAAATAAATAAATAAATAAAGAACTTGCAATAAAGTGAGCAACTCAGTTTTGAAGGAAGATACCAAAAAAAAGAGGGAAATGCCTTCATCTGCAGGCCCTAAGTGTCTAAGTAGAATACTTCCCTCATGCTTAAAGAGAAACTATCAATGTTTACTTTCTTTGTCCCTGCCTCCGGCATCTCCCAAACATCATTTCTTTGTTGTCTACCACTGGAGTAGCTTGCTACATACTGGCAACCACACAAATCTCATACATAGTGACACCCTTAAACTCCTTATCTTAGAACCCAATGTGCCACTCTAACGAAAATGAAGTCTATCAGAAGCTGCACATCAGTACTGCTGCCCTGGTACATTGCCACATAATTTCCCCCTTTGGTGTGTAAAGGTGGAACTCATAAAGTAAATATATCAAAAATGCTAAAGGGCAGAGACCAAAAAGCACCAAAATTGGGGTGGCATAGGATGCAAATTTGAGGGGATAGGCACCAGGTTTTCCTTCCCTTTCGGAGCATGTTATAAGTGTTAATAATCTGCAACACAACCTCCCAGCAAAAGGACTTGATCCTTGGGGGAGTTGGACTGTCCTAAATGACTTGACAGGAAAAGGTTAGAACAAAATTAGGGTGGCATGCAAGGACTTGAAAAAAAAAAAAAAAAACACAAAAACTCTAGGATAAGGTTTGACAAAGAGATTGTTACCCCTACCAAATATCTTCCCAAAAGTTTACCCTGACGCAAAATCAAACCACACCTAATGTATCTCATGAAAATAGAGTAAATTACCCTAATGGCTTTTTGAGGGCAGTCAGGGCACCATAGAATGACACTTCTAGGGGGTCCCAATTCTCAAATCCCATCTATTTCACCAAATGCCAGAAAGACAAATATTCAATGAGGAATCTCCACACCACTTACCAAGGAGAGCTGTATTCTTATCCTTTAACCAAACAAACCCTACTAGCTTTATTTTTGCACAGAAAATCCAGCTTGAGGATGTGTTTCTTTCTCTCTTACCCCAGTTTCCCAAAAAAAATCTCTAATTATTTTTTTCAATTCTTTTCACTACTTTCATGGGAACCCTAAAAAACAGATAGAAATCTGTATTATTACTCTTTAACCTAACAAACCCCCATTAGCTTTATTTTTGCACAGAAAATCCAACTTGACTAGGTGATCTTTTTTCTCTTCCCTAGTTCCCACAAAAAATTCTCTAATAATTTTTTTCAATTATTATCATTTCTTTCATGGAAGCCCTAAAAACAAATATGAAGTAGACTGGGAGTTTGGAAAAAAAAAAAAAAAAGTTGATTTGATAAGGGAATTTCTAGGAAAATATGGTTTTCTTTTATTAGGTAGTTGCTTGGAGAATCTTTCCGCTATTAACATAAAATCATAATTATATTTAAATCTGGTAAAAAAAAAAAGAATCTTTCCACTATTAACTCAGCAGCCCTTCAAAGGAACCTCAATGCAACTTTTGTTTCCTTAATCACCAAGAAAAGTGGTGCTGTCAAGCTTAAAGATTTCAAACCAATCGGTCTGATTGGAAGTGTGTATAAGATTTGGCTAAAGTGCTGGCAACAAGACTAAAGGAAGGTAATGAGTTCTGTCATCTCCATCTTTCAAGGTGTTTTTATCTACAACAAGTGCATTCATGACAGCATTCTCATTGCAAATGAGCTTATTGACTTGAGATCTAGGAGTGGCTGTAAGGGTTTGGTGTGCAAGATCGACCTAGAAAAGGCTTACAATCATGTAAACCGGGCTTTCCTAGACTACTTGATGGACAGATTACATTTTGGCCAGAGGTGGAGAAATTAGATGAAAGTTTGCATTACTACTAGTTTCTCCATCCTCATAAACGGGGCAGCCAAAGGAAGGTCCAAAAGTTCAAGGGGGCTTAGACAAGGTGATTCAGTATCACCTTTATTGTTTTTGATAGTCATGGAAGATTTAGCAGATTGGCAGGAAAAGCTTCAAAGATGGGTCTTCTGGAAGGTTTTGAGGTTTGTAATGGAGGCTCTAAGACTTCTCTATTGCAATTTGCCAACAATACTCTCTTCTTTTGTGAGGCATCACTGAACCAGATCTTAAACTTCACTTCTTGCTTTATTGGTTTGAGGTGGTCTCTAGTTTAAAGGACAACTTTTCCAAAAGTGAGATTTTACCAGTTAGTGAAGTTCCAAACTTGTAAGCCTTGGCTGATATTTTGGGGTGCAAAATAGGTAGCTTTCCTTCAAAGTATTTAGGTTTTCCTTTGGGGGGAAAATGAAATTCAAGCACCACTTGGAATCCTATTTTGGAGAAGAGTGACAACAAGTTGGCTTCTTGGAAAGTTAGATATCTTTCTAAAGGGGGAAAGCCTGTCTTAGTTAAGAGCATTCTGGCTAGTCTTCCATGTAATTTTATGTCTCTCTTCTTAGTGCCATAGGAGGTAGCGAGGAAAACTAAGAATGAGGGATTTTCTGTGCCTTGGATGAAAGCACTCTTCTAAATACCATCTGGTGAACTGGGATGAGATCTATAAACCCATTTCTCAAGGAGGGTCGGGCATTTTAGAAAGGTGAAAGTGTTTAATTTGGCACTTTTGGGAAGCTGGTTCTGGAGATTTTCAAGTGAACCACAAGAATTATGGAGAAAAGTAATCGTTGACAAATATGGCTTCATTAACACTGGGTGGGACGAAGGTGGCTCTCTTCCCTCCTACGGGTTTAGCATTTGGAAAGGAATTTCTAGAGCTTACCCTCATTTCTTGAATGGCATTTCCTATAGAGTTGGAAATGGAAGAAGACTGAGGTTTTGGCTGTACCCTTGGTGTGGTAATACTATTTTAAAAGAGAGTTTTCCTTCTTTGTTTGTTGCAGTTGCAGCAGATGACCCTCAAATTTCTGTGGCTGATTGCCTCGTTCAGGAAGGAGACAACTTAGTTTGCTCTCCAGTTTTCAGAAGGAATTTCAATGATTGGGAGTTGGATCAGGTGGCAAAGCTTCTGTCTTTGCTTCAGAATCAGCACCCTGAGTTGCATTCTGAGGACTCTAGATGTTGGAAATAGGCAAAATCTGAAAGCTTTTCAGTCGGGTCCTGTTACTGGGGGCTCCTGGGTGAAATTTAATAGCCCTTCCCTTTCAAGGCCATTTGAAGAGTAACTGCCCCTCTAAAAGTCAAGCTTTTCACCTTGGTAGCTGCCAAGAAGAAATGCCTTACCAAAGAGATGCCGATGAGAAGAGGCTTTACCTTACCAGACTTGCTCTGCCCCTTGTGCAATCAACAAACTGAGTCTTTAAGTCATCTGTTTATCCACTGCAAGTTCTCAACAGGAGTTTGGCACCATTTTCTTTTTTTTTTTTATCAATAACTTTGAAACTGTTATTGATTAAAATACTTTAGGATACAATAATAAGATACAAAAGAAATCAGCATAGCAAGCTGACCCAGTACAGATTACAAGTGTGCCCAAAACATATCTGTTCTGTGAACCCCTTGCTTTGCTAAGCTATCTGCCAGACTATTGGCAAATCTCCTTACCCATCTCACCTGAACTGACAAGTTCCTTGACATCCATTTAAATCTTTTGAATTCATTCTTCAACTGCCATGTCACCCCTTCACCTTTCTGCAACCATTTTATCACAGTTTTTGAATCTCCCTCGATGATCAGCCTATTGATCCCCAACTCTTTGACCTTCTCAACCCCATATACTGCAGCTAGAAACTCTGCCCTTGTCACATCACCTACCTCCACCGAACCGGAGTAAAGGGCAATGATGGAACCATTTTCGTCTCTAATGACCCCCTCAATGCCTGAAGGGCCCGGGTTATCCACACAACTCCCATCAAAATTTAGCTTCTTCCAACCCTCTGTTGGAGGGGACCAAGTCTCAACAAACTGTCGTCTCATAGATGATGAAGCAGCAATAAGTCCCCAAACCCTGAAAAAATCTTCAACCTTGAAGGCTGAAAACAGCTTCAAACTTTTTACCCAATGAGCCACCCTCAATGTTATTGTTTCAACTAAAGCTTCCTTGCATTTTTCTTTACTTTCAAATATCCTATCATTGCTTTCCTCCCAGATGATACAAAGTATTGCTGCTCGAGTGCATTTCCAAAGAATCCTTCCCCTCCTAGTCATACCATTGATACCATTAGGGCTGAATAAGCCTTCCACCCTGTCAGGAGAGGACCACCTGCACCCAAAAAGGGAAGTAAACCAATTCCAAATAAAACTGACAAAAGGGCAAGATATAAGAAGGTGGAAAACAGTCTCACCATTCAATTTACACAGGATTCTTAGGGCCATTAATCTGAGTTGGTGCTGGCCAAAAACAATCTCTTCTGTGCTAGCTGGATGGAGAGTGCCTGGCATGTCTAAAGAAGGGAAACAAGTTTGATCTGTCAAACCATCTGCAGTGTTGGGCTATCTGGTAGGGACGAAACTGTAAGGTTTTTGAGCAAAAAGCTAAGACTGAGGCTGGGTTATTAATTTTATAATAGAAGAGCTTAGGATCTAATTATCTCCTTCTGATATACATAGAGATGTTTATAGTTCCGGTTCTCTTTTGAGGGTTGACTTTTTTGGGGTTTCCTAGTTCTGGTTGCGCTTGTACAGATTCTCTTTGTATAGGACCTTATACTTTTGAATCTAATACAATACTTTACCTCTTCAAAAAAAGAGAATCGTTCACTGATCCAAAAGAGAGAGAGAGAGAGAGAGAGAGAGAATCTTTCCACTATTGCATCCCAAAAGAAATGCCTCCCTCAGTTTCCCCCCCCCCCCAAATGTAATCCAAATATTTGCCATGAAGAGGTCTCACCACAAACCCTAAAACACTAGCAGACCCCCCCCCCCCAAAACTCCTTTAGTTCTAGAGTGATCCCCACTCTACAACATTTCAAAAGGTTAATTTTCATCAACTTTAGTGTGAGGCTAACAATGCTCTGGTCGTTTTCCTTCTAGGATCCTTTTCATCTAGGGCTGTAAACGGATTGGATTTGAATTGGATCCAGCTAAATCCACATCCGATCCGATTATCAAACCCCTGGATCCAAGTCCAGCATTTTGGGTTTTTGGATTGGATCCAGATTTTTCTTTATTGTGTTTAAAATGACAATAAATAAAAAGTCTTAAAAAACTAATTACTTTTAATGGTTACATGTATACATGTATAAAAATGTATGCAAATATAAAATATTAAATTTACCATTTATAAACACACTACATATATATATATATCACATAATCATACTACATATATAATAAATTAATAATACTCTTTTATCAGATTTGGATTTTAATCGGATCAGATGGGGTTAAATCTGCATCTCATCCAATTATTAATCAAATGCAAGTTTTAACATCCAAATCCGGGATAATGGGATTCAGAGTCAAATTGGATATTAGACTTTAATAGTCTGTTGACAGCCCTATTTTTAGCCCATTATGTTCTCTCCTTTATCTTTTATAGTTTGTACTTTGTACATAGCATGTTGGCAAGAACCCATATGGTAGATCTAACTATTGTCATAGTAATACCATTTTATGTTACATATTAGAGAAAATAGTGCCTGTTAATTCTGATTCTTCTGCAATGGTGAGAAGCAAATTTTAGTGAAATACATTTAAAGCACCGATGTCCTTGTCTGGACCATATAAACCTCATAATACCAACTAAAGTAATCTGTATTTAGAAGTTGTTTTAATGCAGTCATCAAGGAAATTATATTAAAGCCATACAACTAGTTATACATATTTATTTTATATGGAGTAACAATGTAACATACACTTCTCCCAAGTAGCTCCTACCATGTGTCTGTTTGATAACTTTTTTTTTGGCTCCATGGGGCTACACAACAGGGGTAGCCCATCCCCCAAACCCATAACCCCTCCAACCCTGGTGTAGGTGGGATTCAATCCTAAGTCTTCGCTACAAACCAGCAGGAGACCTTACCAACCAGCCAGTTGGCACCTTGCCCTGTTTGATAACAATTTGTGAAGTCCAGTTTCAAGGAATTAATGCTAAACAGTCCTCAAATATCCAACTGAAAGCTAAAATTGCACTGAATGACTCAATTCCTATAACAGAATGAATAACCACTGATAATGGCAAAAAAAAATAAAGCTTTAATAGTCATGGGACTGCAAACCATTTAAAAATTTATAGATGATAAGAGCTCCTAGACTGTTTGTTTGAAAGGATAAATGCCAATAATAGACAAATTTAAATAACAAAATCAATCACAAATACAACTGAGGGAATATAGGGAATATATATATATATGACATGTAAGCATGTAAATGTGCATATGCGCATACTATATATATGCATTCAAATTTCTTTACACGCTGGTACATGCATGTACAACGTTTAGTGTGTGTATGTGTATACCAAGAGATCAAAGCAATGGAATATGAATATCAGAGCATACAGCTTTCTCATCATCATCCAAGAAGTTAAATATGCTCTGCTGCTTCACTTCAGCTCTGTTCTTCCTTGATGACGTAAACGACCGTGGAGTCCATCCTGCATTTCGATAATCAAGTTTACTAGATTCGCCATTCTCAATAACTTCAGACACTAAACCACGAAGAATCATTATAAAATCTCAATGGAGAATAACGATATACCCTCTTTTGAACCAGCAGTATTGTAATAACCAGCTGAAAATCCTCCCGTAAATGCTCCATGAAATCTTCTTCGTCCTTCCTCATCCCTGACCTGAAAGTTACAAATTTGCCATACCCAAATGAAGAAAAAAATGTAAAATAAAACACTTAAGCATCTGAGTAGATTTTTTTAATCACACCCATTAATCCAAATTATGGAAAGAATAAATTGTGCTTCTAATTAGAAATTCACTTCGTTCTATGAATAACAATAAATGATAATCAATTAGGAAATAACACCTCTTGCTTCCATGGAGGAAGAGCTCGCATTTGGCCTGTCGCCTCTGCGACCGCTTTCTTCTTCCGGCTTGTCATCTCCTCTTCTCGTTCAATTGGAGTCCCATAGAAGACAAAATCTTCCTCGTCCGCGTCCATCTTCTCTTTCTTTTGTTGGTTCTTGCTAGTTTCAATCTAGACCTGTCAAGCAAACTAAGGATATTTTAATTGATAGTAATTGAAACCCTAAGATATTAGAAAGCAAATATGAATATATGCGAAGAAATGGAAAAAGGAATAAGATGATGATCGAAACTCTGAGAAAACCTTTTTTTCCTGCTGATTGATAGGTTTTGCAATCAAACTGGTGATGAAGTTGAAGCTTGGAGAAAACGGTGACGGTAACTTGGAGTATGCTTGCCAATAGCATTTGCAACTTGGATGGGGTGTTTCGGTCCAGAGAGTCCTAGACCCGACAACTTGGACCCCACCCATTTGATCCACCCAACCAACACACTTGAAAACCCAGCCAAATCCATCCATTTTAGTTGGGTTTGGATCGAGGGTTACCCATTAACCCTCATATTATCATTAGGAGAACATCTTCCGTAATTATAGTCATATGAGAACATCTTCCCCACGCGCCCCAAAAGCGTCTCATATAGTCATCTCAAATTAGATTGGGAGATGTTATCAATATACGGTTAGGATGTGTTGTGGGACGTTTTTGGGGCACAATTTGTGGAGACAGATGTAACTTCATATTAGGGCTGTCAACGGTCTAAATTTGGTTCAGTATAGGGTAGAACCGTTTCGAACCCGTTGTTAAAATCGATAGTACTAGAACCGAATCAGACCCGATTGGTTCTATTATTTCACAACCGGTACTGAACCGATGGGCCAATTGAAACAATCGGGTCTAATCCAATTGGACCCAATTAAATAAAAACCCATACTTAAAATGGTAAGACTTGTAGTTTTTTATACTGTTTTCAAAATCAGATCGAACCGGATAGTCAGACCGAAAAAAACCAGGAATCGGTCACAGTTCCGTTTTCCTCCAAAACCGCTTTTCCCCAAAACAATTGATTTTGGTCAGTAAACCACTGAACCGGCCGATTAATCATTCGAATGGTTTTGATCTTTTTCCAATTTTTTTAATTTTTTAAATTTTTTTTATTTTATTTTATTTTTGTCAGAATGGGCCAGTCATTCGGAGCGAACGGTCGGACCATTTGAACCGGTAACTGGACCCTGACCAATTTGATCACCGATTCGTTTTTAAAAACCATGGTTTTTTATAAAATATTTTATATTAATAAAAATCTATATTAATTAATTAATTAATATTCCTAATGAATACATCAGCGAAAAAGGACTTACTTGATGCTAGTTTGATAAGAAAAAGAACATTTTCTTCAATAACTTGTTATCAGAATATTAGTAGGATATTTGTCAAAAAAAAATCTATTGTATTTATATAATCTTACTAAAAATCAATCTGTAAATAGCCTACAATCATATACAGTTTCAGTTTAACTTTACTAAAAACAAAATAATAGCAATTAAATTGAAGCTAAGGCTGCGTTTGGTTGGAGTGCAAATCTGAACCGTTGTAAATTTGCATTTCGGTTTAGATTTGCATTCGTTTGGTAAGAATTCAAAAATATGCCTATTTTCGATGCAAAAATGTGCATAGCCAAGGTTTGCATCGAAAATAGGTGAAACTATTGCTTTATAAAAAACGGAGGAAATTGTGCCACGATTTTGGTCGAAGTAAATAAGCAGGTTTCCAACTGTTTTCTCTTCGAGCGTTCGATAGAGAAGAAAGGTTATGCGTTTGCGATAGAGGTAAGATTGATCTGAACTCCAAATCCATCCATCTGTCGAGGTAATGAGAGATCTGAACTCTCATTTTGATTTTCTTTTCGTTTTTAGGTCACTTCCCTCGTCGGAAGAGAGATCTGAACTCCAAATCCCTGAGAGGTATGTCTGATATTTCTTCGTCCTATGGGTTTTCTCGAATCTTCCTTCGGTTCAGATTTGCACTGTGTTCATCCATTATGTGAAATGGAGTGCAGCCATTTCCAGATCCCTCCTCTTATTCCTTCTTGATTCCTTCTTCTGCAAGTCTGCATCTTCATAACTTGATTCCTTCGTTCTTCGTTTTTGTTGTTGTTATTTTCTTAATGACATGCCATTTTCGTAATGGTTTGTGAATTTCCTTTTCTGATTAAAACTAAATGTAACAGATTATAAATTCGAAAGGTAAGGAAGGTGGACGAAAGCAGGGTGATGGCATCCTAAGATTAAAAACGGCGAAAAGAGGAGTAGGAAGAAGTGCAGAGTGGATTTGGAAAATGTAGCAGAGGAAATCATCTACAACATCCTGGTGAACATCCCGGCCCGCACACTCTATGATTTGAGGCCASTCTGCAAGCTTTGGTATAAWCTCATGGAGTATCCAGAGTTCTACTGTTAGCCAAAGTTATAGCCTGATTTGTAATGTAGATAATCAAGAAAGAGAAAAGAGAATATAAGGACAGAAGAGGTATATGGACATATTCATGAATATTTTATGCCTGAACTCTTAGTATTCTCCCAAAAACTTCCATGTCTCTGGATGTATTGTAAGGTTTATACTGTTTGATTCTTTTTGTGATTTTTTAATAAATAACAGAAATTTTTCAATAAACATTGAACACCGCACTGCACACCATATTGTTTGATTCTTTTTGTGAAATCAATTTCTATCACTTTAGTAGTGACAAGCTGTTAATTGCAGATTCAGGGGTTTCAAATAATAGAGATGGTTTAGTTGTTGTAAATGAGAAACTCAACGAGTGCAAGTCAAGGAAATTTTCACTGTGAGTGGCTCCCTCATCAAGCTTTTATATCATATACCCGCCTATGTATGGTTGTGTGTGCATTCATACTGCATATAAAAAATTGCATAGTGAAACTGATAATCAACAAAGTTTTTGTTACCTGCCAAATAACTGTTATAATATAATTAGCTGCTAATATATTACTGTTATTCTTTTGTTTTTTTTATAAATGTTAATATATTACTAGTTAACCTTTTAACATCTCATTTATCAATAAACTAATGAAAAACAAATAGTCCAAGGATTTATGGCACCACTGGACCCCAGTTATCAATAAATGTTAATATATTCTACCATTTTTATGATTGGTGAAAAATGAGTTTACTATTGCTAAGTTTCTATTACTTCCCAGTTTTTTTATTTTTTTGATCAACAGCTATTACTTCCCAGTTGATGTACAAAATTTGAATACATATCTAACACATTCTTGAAATATTTCACTTGTGGCAGATCTAAGGGTGTATTGAAGACTTTGAATCATTTTGAAAGATTTGAGAGAGATATGAAAGTGCTTTTGCTTAATAAGGTTTATGTTGTAAATGTTGTAGGTATTGTTTTATCATCTTCAGTCCTACAGTTTATTGTGTACTGCATATGTCTGAAGGATGAGATAAGAAGTTGCAAAATGTTTATTCACAAATTTCCCATGCTCTTGATATTATTTTATCTATTTTTGGTTACATATGTTGCTAGATTTGACGAGGGTGTTCAATTTTCAAGAACCTACTCCCAGCTATTTGTCATATTGGCTTCTTGTTATAACTTCATGTGGACCAAGCTGGATTAGCTTTTAGACATTTTTACTGATTTTCAAGGGGAAAATTTTCTAAGAGATGAGAGTGATGTAACCCATGGGGGGCTGCATGGTACAGCAGCCTAACTCCAACCCCAAGGTGGGAACTCCTAAGCCCTTGAGGTTGATAAATTCAATGTGCCTGCTGTATTTATTCTTCTAACCATCTATGGAATCATGGATAGGGGAGTACATTCTTTCCTTTAGGAAGAGGGAGAAAGGGAGAGAGAGGTATGGCTTAATAATTCCCTTTCACCCATTGAACAATGGTCCCTGTAATAGGCATAAACTTTACAATTGTAATGTTCAGTATACCTCTGGGATAGCCACTTGCTAGTGACTTCTTTCATCTAGCTTTTTTTACTGTTTGCTTTCCCTTTTGGGAATTTATTTTATCTACTTAAGCTTTGGGCTTAGATGTAATCATATTTTTTAACTCCCATAAACATGGAAACGGCCGTGATGGCCTTGAGAGTGTACACAGATTTTGTTGTGTAACATTTTCAAGAGGCTATTGAGAAGAACATCATGGCCATTGGATTCTTTTATTTCTAGACTTTGATGTATGCGGGATGGTTTATGTCACTAATTTTTTTTTTTTTTGTTCCTTTATGTGGAAGCTCCATAGTTCCTATTCAAAAAGAATAGTTGTCATTGGCGTGAAGAAGAGAGAGAAACTAGCTTACTTGGTAGAAGAGACCGTTGTATTTGCATTGATGGTAGGAGTAGCTGGTTGTTTTCATGTTGCTATTTTTTACCAAGGTGCCTGTTCTATGCCTATTGTATGCCCGGGCTGCTTGTTATTTTTTATATTTGTTTAATGGTGGGAGTAGCTGGAACACCATTTGGTAGAAGAGACCGTTGTATTTGCATTGATGGTAGGAGTAGCTGGTTGTTTTTATGTTGCTATTTTTTACCAAGGTGCCTGTTCTATGCCTATTGTATGCCCGGGCAGCTTGTTATTTTTTATATTTGTTTAATGGTGGGAGTAGCTGGAACACCATTTGGTAGCAAGAAACAGTTGTATTTGCATTGATAGAAATGCCAAACATCCACAAAAATTGTATTCTTATTTGCATCTTTCAAAACAAATGAGATGAGTGCAAAGTGGGTGTGTAAATCTTGAACCACTTTGAATCATCAAAAAAAAAAAAAATCTTGAACCACTTTGCACTCACATGAACCAAACATTTTTGTTTTGCACTCTACAAATTTGTATTCGCACTCCAACCAAACGGAGCCTAATGGAAAAAAAATAAGCAAACCTGCATATATGAGTGATCTTGAAATCAAACTGCCTCCTTATTCAATAATTGAAATATCCAGCAATTAAGCAAGAGCCCACTTACTAGCCGTCCATTTATCTAGTACTCCCAGTACTAGGTTCACATGGGTGGCATCTAAATTGTGATAAGCTTTCTTTTCTTCTACCCCATCTTCTCTTTTTCTTTGTTCAGGTGTGTAGGGATTGGTAAAGAGAAGTATTCGTTGCCAAACCTATATATTCCATAACCCATTAAATCATTCATAAAATCACTACAAGAATGAAACCATTAAACAATCCTCCCTCAAACCTGCATACTTCAAGAATGATTGACAATCCATTAAATTAAATCCTTAAGAACTAAAACTTTAACAATTTCTCAAACATTCATTAAACCTTTAAACCATAAGTCTATAATCCATTAAACCATTAAAAGTTCAAAAACATTAAGTTTCTCAAGTGTCAATAAACAATTCCATTAGTCAATTTTGAACAAAAACAAATATATAAAATCTCTAAAAGTTCAAGACTCCACAAAATATCCAATAGTTAAGAGTTAAGACAACTCCAAATCCACCGACCAAGTCTAAGACTCCAAAATAATTCCAACTGCAATCTTCCCATTTCCAATCTTTTAATCCAAGTTCCCACTCCTACAAGAAAAAATAATCAAAATATACTTGTATTCATATGATTATAATGAAAGATAAAAGCACTTGGTTTGTGTTAATTTTCCTTACCATTTCATAATGATCAAAACTCTTAAACTCCATCAAGTATTGTTTTCTGAAGTAGTATTTTCTAATACTAGAAAAAAAAAACATTGAAAGGAATTAATATATCCATCAAATAAATCTGAAGTCAAATAAACAATGTGTCTTTACTTACTAATATCTAAATCCGGAAACCAATCGTGTCCACATATCAAGGCTTCAACAATATTAGGAAAAAGGCAACTACATCTTGAATCAATAACTCTATGCCTGTGAATGCCGACTCTGATGCAGTAGTTGAAACAGGATCATCAATACATCACGTGCCATCTTAGAGAGTACAGGACACTTTGGAGTATTGACTTTCCACCAATTTAATATATTGAAATATGGATTTCTAGGAAAGAGTGGTTCATCCAAATATTGATCCAAATCTGACTTTTGGTGTGGCATTTGATTACTAGGGCATTCACTCATACACCAACTATCGAAAGATGTGAACAAGTCTCCTACATTCATTAGCATCAACAAATGAATCATTATTCAAACCATCATTTTCTCCAATAATTGAGGGAGTAACACACCTCATGAGTGAATCCATGTCATCAATTTCATATTAAAAAAAAAAAAAGATCTATCGGTGCATGATTAACCTTGCCAATGTAAAAAGAATAATTACTACCATAAATCTTAGTGTAGTAAAACCTCACTAGTACCATCTTAAACCATGGATCAATAACTAATGAAATGTCTAAGATCAAACTGCATTCATGCCAATACTTGTCAAACTTTATCTTCATTTCATTTTCCATCATTATGATTTCCACATGGTCACTTTTAACCCATTCAAGAAATTTTAGATGAATTTCACAAACATCTTGAAAATAAAGATTTGTAGTTGGATATTTAAACCCAGAGAAGTTATTGGTGGCATCATGGCAAATCTTTAAGCATTTTTTTTTAATAATTAATGCCATTTTCCACTCCTCCTTAGATGGATTTTATTTGTAGTCACAATCCATCTACTCCAAATGACAAAAAGAAAGTCTAAGTGCTAAAGTAAACTCTGACATAAGATATGTAGAGTTCCACCTAGTTCCCACATCCATGGGCACGCTTCTTTTTTTCTTGCACCTTTATTTGATTTATTGCATTATGAAACTTTTGATCTATTGATTGTGATGAATTAACATATTTAATAGATTCTTGAACTTTCTGAAGCACATGTCCTATGACTTTTAAACCATCTTGCGCAATTATATTCAAAATATGAGCTGAACAATGGATATGAAAATATGCCCCAAACAATGGAAGTAAATGTCGACCAACAAGGCAACTCTTAATTTCCTTAACCATAGCATCATTTGTAGATGCATTGTCAAGTATTATGGTAGCCACCTTTTTAGTGATATTCCACTCCATCATCTTATCCATTAGAACCTTACTAAGAGTCTTTGCATCATGAGGAGTTGGTATTTTCACAAAAGAAATGATTTTTTTATGCAACTCCCAATCATCATCAATAAAATGAGCAATGATGCAACAATACCCAATGTTCTCGTTCTCTACTGTCCACATGTAAGTGGTGAGACCAACCCTACAAGAAAGCTTATCTAAAAATTTATAAAACTTTTATTTATGTTGGTACACTGCCATTATGTGAGCCCTAATTGTATTGTGTGAAACTAGTCTAAACATAGGTTGAAGATTATTGCAAAACTTCTGAAAATACCCATGTTCAACCATATTAAAACGGTACTCATGCTTAATGATCATTTCCGTGAGATCCCTACGACTTTTCTCTTGATCAAATTTAAAGTTTTGCAACTTTGTGGATATATCTTGTGAAGTTTTAGATACTGACAATACTTGCTGACCACCTTCATTGCACCTCTTCCTAAAGCATTTAAGCAAATGTTTCCTCAAATGACTGGTGCCATTGGAACTAGACCCATTAAAGTCTTGTTTACAATGATTACAAATGGCAAGATATTCACCAATTGCACTTTTATTGAGAGAAAAATCTTTCAAAACTTCAGATGTTCTTTTCCTAAGCCCCTAGGATTTAGATATTTGAGAGTCTTGTTCTAATGGATCACCACCACCTTGAACAGTTGGTTGACTTTGAGTTGTTTCAGCTTGAGACATGCTTATAACTAGAAAAAAATCTTATATGTAAATGCATGAAATTATCTGTTATATATCTACTAACTAATATTAAATTATTCTAAAAAATAAAGCTAGAAAATCAAGAAAAGGAATTTACCTCTAGATCACCTAGGTGTGATAGATATTTGCAACTATAATTGGTAATTCAAAATAACAAGAAACCATCTGGTCTATTTAGTGTCGAATGGTGTCTAAGCTTGTATAACACCATCCGGTCTATTCAGTGCCAGATGGATTGTACACTTATGAGAATCATATATAACCATGCGGTCTATTGGGTTCTAGATGCATTTGGTGGTGTAAATACTAATAGATCACCTAAGAGATAGATGTTTGCAACTATAATTGATAATTCAAAATAACAAGAAACCATCCAATTTGTTTAGTGTTGGGTGTTTAGGCTTGTAAAATACCATCCAGTTTGTTCAACATCGGATGGATTGTACACTTATGAGAATCATATAGAACCGTGTGGTCTTATTGGGTTCTAGATGCATTTCATGGTGTAAATACTAATAGATCACTTGGGTGATAGATGCTTGCAATTATAATTGATAATTCAAAATTACAAGTGTCAATGTTAAGAAAAGCCCAACTATTCACTTCAAGGCTAGATGGATGGAGTCACCACCCACTAGAAAGCATAATAGGGTGGCTCACTACAAGAAACCATCAGTTCTACAGAGTATCGAAGTGCAAAACTCTATTAAAAACCATATAGTTTGTTAAATATTGAATGGCCTGTACATATTTGAAAGTCATATAGAACCATGCTATGTACTGGTTTTTAGATATATTTGAGGCTATAAATACTACTAGACACTTAGAGTGATATTTGTTTGTCACTTTAACAAGTAATTTGAAAGTCAAAGAAACCATCTAGTTTACTTAATGTCAAAAATGTGAAAGCTTGTTAAAACTATGTAGTCTATTATATTTTAGATGCATTTAAGATTGTAAATACTATTAGATCACATGAGTGATAGAAGTTTATTACTTTAACTGGCAATTTGAAAGTAAAAGAAACCATCCAATATATATAGTGCCGGATGGTGCAAGGTCTATTAAAAGCCATCTGGTCTGTTAAATATAACAATCAACAAACCAAATACAAAGTCCAATAGCTATAAAGCAAGGGTGACAAGAAACAAATAATATCCTTCTTTTCTTAGTATTAAAATTGGGAATATCATTATTATAAAATGAAGAACAAACCCCAAATACAAATGCAAATATCCAAAGGGTTGGACATCCAATCCATTCCCTAATACAACTCCTACATACATATTGTACAATGTAATTCAATAAAAAGTTCAACTTGGATATGAGAGGCCAAACTTCTTGCTGGTCATTCACTAGGCTACTCGCAACAACTTGCACTTCAAAAATTCTTTTAATGGTCCATTGGTTCTTCGTCTTGGATTTGCTCCAAAGTTTAGGAGTTTATGTGTGCATTGCAAACAAGGTGGGGTGGACACTCTTTCACTAGAGTTGCTTCATTCAATATGGTTGTGGTTGCTTCCTCGATTGGATGTGAAGTATTGGGATCATTAACACAGTTGCAACTTTTTCCTGTTTTTATATCTCCCACATGTTGTATCTTTCATTAGAAACTCTACTTCATTAGTTTCTTCACTGTTATGGGCACACTTGCTAATGAATCAATGATATTTAATCTTTGCTTGAATCTATAGTTTCAACACCCTGCACATATTAAACAATAATAGGTAATTGATATTAATCCTTTTGTTATTTGTAGAAGTGGAAGTTGGAGCTAATAAAAAATACTATTACTTATAAGTCCTTACACTCAAAATAAGTAGGGAATCAAGGACGGAAACTAAAATAGGCATCTATGTAATAATAATGGATAAATCTATGATGCGGAAAGGATATGATATGGGAAGAGTTTTGACCAATCAAAAC